GGTGGCAAATCCAAAAAAAAAAAAAGAAAAGAAAAAAAAAATCAAAAAAAAAAATGACTAAGGAGTTAAAGAAGATGATTCCTATGGGAACTAGCATAACTCAACAAATCATTTTTGAAACATGACAGTGGGTATAGGCTGATTCCGGAATGCATTTCGTGAATAAGCAGAATGTCCTCCAAAAATGCAGTAGGCCTCCAAAAAAAAAAAAGTGACTAGCTTACAAAAAGAACAATCGCATTTAAAAAAGAAACAGTGACCTCCTAGTGAAGCTAACATAGTTCAGCAGTCTGTCCCTAAAACAATCTCTTAAATACTCGGTATTTTGAATATAAACTTGTTGAACACATGCAAACTGTTACTGATTTAATAATTATCAAGATCCATGTTCGAAACGGCAGAATCGTTCCAGCAGACATGTGTTCCGCGTCGGCGAGACCTTCAGCAATAAATTGGAAATGAAATGTCCCGGAAGTTTTTTCACTTCCAACCGTTCGATTAACCATAACGAAAGGTTTGGACTGGTCAGATCCCAAAACGTCAGTACTTCGCATATTATACCTCGTAAAGGAGTTAGAGGGACCAAAATTCTCTTTTGTTTTTTTTTATGTTTTTGCTTTTCTGGCCCTCAAAAACTTTTTCGGGCTTAGAACAGCCTCTGCCTGTATGTTGTTTTTTTTTCTGGGAACATACGATGCAAACTATGAAGACTCTTGGATTTTTTATTTGAGACCCAATTCTAAGCGGTTTCTCATAGGTCCCCTGTGTGCGCTTCCTGATAAAGTAGGACTAGTCAGATAGCTTAGAGGCACTTATGTTACAGCACTTATACCATCAGCTGTGATTTGCGTTCGCTGGTTGAAATTACGGGCTTTTTTTTAAAGCAAAGATGGTCTTTTCTTTCAAGTCGCAAACCGTTTTTTTTACATTTTAGTTTCGTTTAGACACCCTTTGGAAAGCAATAACTGATGTTACCCTTAATTTTATGGACCAACAGGCGTTTCTTTTTATAGAAAAAAAATCAACTTTCCTTACTGCCAGTGAAGAAGTGAATTAGCAATATATTAACAGCAGAAACATATAAAAAAGCTTCTACAACTGGTCTAGGTAACGCGCAAAAAAGCTGGGTAGTTTATGAATTGTCTTATAATTTTACAACAAATTATTTTAATTGCATCAAAAAAAAATTAGACACAGGAACTGCATGTGTCGCAGGAAACGCAAAAAAGTGCAAAAAGCGAGATGGTCGCAAAATTTATCGTCCTCAAAGTCAACTCTATTTAAAAAAAATAATACACATATTAGTAGCGTGTTGGAATTCACTCAGCTCACGCGATTTCCGCTATAGCAAACGGTAGAATTATTTTGGAAATGAAAAGAATAAAAGCTTAATCTATCCAAAGTTAATTCCATCATAAATGCAACGTGCGAAATATCACGATACTAGAATCTAGCCAGCCCGGGTGCTTTGCGCTATTACAGATCGTGTTGGAGAATGAAAAATTAAAATGTCCATACACACATCATAAAATATCGTAAAAATCATAATCTTATACTTCTGAAATTTCTTTGGTTTCAGCAAAACAATTTGTATCTCTTTGCCTCCCATAGAGAATGAGTCCCTCATGAGTCAAAAGATACATCTCTAATAAGGAAAAGAACAGTAAGATGGAATACTTACGCGAAAATTCATTATGAACCATCTGAGCGCTGGGTCTCTCCGTCGGACCTTGGTAACGAGTGTAGTTACTAGATGGCAATGAGCTTCCGGTGCCCTTTCCTCCATGAGATAAAGCTGAATTGGTAAATGACCTTGAGCCGCCCGATCCATACGATCCACCTCTACCTGAAAACGATGAAGAGAACCTTAGCGGAGGAATCAGAACTTTCTAAAGCGGAAAACTATTTAACATCGAGTTCATTCTAGCAAATAATTACTCAAAATAGTTTAAATACACTCATATTGCGAAAAACCACTCTCACTGTCAAAACCAAGAAAATCACAGTCCCACCTCTTGTCTTTGAATCAGGAAAGCGCTCACGCTTGGTGTTACCCTCTGTATCTGGGAAGCGTTCACGCTTGCCTCCCCTACCAGAATTCATAGAAACATCACTACGCCTTCCACTCTGAAGATTATTGCGACTGGATGTGAGATTACTCGCCGATCCTCCCCTAGAGTTACTGCCACAAGATGGGCGGCTAAAAGAGAAAATGATACATGTCAGGAAAATACATGCATTATACGTCTACTACTTCAAAAATTACATGAAAGCTGTACCATAAAAAGATTACGACCACTACCAACACTACTATGGATACCTGATAGGTACGTTACGACGATGATTCTGCACTTGATATTCCACAGATGGCTTATCTAAATCTCGTTCCTCATCATCATTTTCCAGTAACGCATGCGCTCTACTGGAACGGTCTTGCTCAATTTCCCGGGCAATCTTCTCCGCACGAATACGATCTTCACTATCTTTTTCAACCACAGGTGTGCTAAAAATTTTTTAAACGACAGCATCTTCGGAGTACAAGCAATGTAATAGTCTTCAAACACTAAAACTCAATCTCACTTTGTATACTGGCTCATATTCTCCACGTAAGTGCTTTCAACACCAAGTGCTTTGTTCACATGGAACATATCATCCGCTGACCAACCACCATTAGTAAGATCGTCAGTTTTGGTCTCATCAATCTCACCAGCCCCATCTTCGTCCCACGGCTCAAATGTAGATTCTGCATATCCGTCTTCAGCAGTTGATCGGCGCGCTTGGTACTCACGATCAGTAGCAAAACCTGAAAAACGGCAGGTAAAAGACAATTCCGATGAATTTTTCTGCCTTTCAAACTTTGAATACAATAATGAACAAATGGAAGAATAAACAAAAAATAATCCACCTTTCATTTTTGGCTTCTCATCCTGTAAAACTGCAGAAAAACAAAGATAGTCACCATAATGAAATATCATCTTTTCAATGACGTCATCTTTATGTGGAAGCAACTTGTCTGGTTCAACCCTATGAACCTGCGACAGACCTATATCTAACTGAAAATTCATAAGCTTTTCTAAGTACGAATGTTTCTAAAACACCCAATTAAAATTTTGTTTTCCACTTTCCTACCCCATCACCCATACCACTATTTTTCAAGAAGAAACTTTTAAAATGTTATAAGGTATTAAAAATCATTATAAATGAAAAAAATAATACATCAGGATGAGACGCTGTGAATATGCCTTCGTACTTACTACCATCTCGAGTTTCTACGGTTACTTCTCGACCCTAGAAAAAACATCTTCTCACAAGGAAAGAATGAACCTTGTAATCCGAATTCGAAGTTTTCAAACAAAAAATACGTAAAAAATAAGTAAAAATTAGAAGTACGAAAGAAATGCAGCCCAAATGTGCTGCAAAAAGAACTACTTTTTACTTATACGAAAATGTTTCAAGTACTAAAACACATTCAAAATTGAATCTTTCTCCAAAACTTACTATAAAATCTAATAGGAGACCCACCACATGATTACTGCTGAAGGAAGCGCTATGTGTCTGAAAATAAATATTAAGCTGAAACAAAAATTATGGAGAAAAAGTGAAAACGCACAGTTCCAGATAAGCTTAAGTCAAGAATTCGCGATAAGGATAAGCAGAGCTTAGAAGAATTCTGTATCATAACACCGGAAAAAGAACGTCAAAAGACGTAATTTTAAGAAAAATTCTAATAATAAAATCAATTAATAAAAAGCAACATCTTAAACCAGCCAATCAAAACTTTACCTGTTCTTGTTTTCGCGACATTTTGGAATCTAATAAAATAAACCTAGACACGGTCTTCTTCGTTATTTTAAATATTGCTTACCGAAGGAATAATTGCTATAAAAATTCCAGTTGTTGAGTCAATCGTGGATGACCTGAAATCGAAGGCGCTTGATAAAAAAAGAAAATGAGGATGAAAGCCAAAACTAAACACACCTACTTTTAGTGGCTACTGATAAATATGAATACGGCAAGAACAACACTGGAAATTACAACACCAAAGTTCCGACTGCCTAATTAATTGGAACTCCGGATTTAAAATAATCCTGAAAGTTAAAAAAATATAAATTAAGAGATAAATATTACAAGAAATTCTTAGAAATAGCAACACTCAAACTTGGAGAAAATACGCTAGAGAAGCACAAAACGACCTTAGATGGCAGTAGAGAAACTTAAAGTAATTTTAGAATAAAACAATC